ACGCTGCTGGTGCGATGGAATCCCCTCGCTCGACTGGATGATTTCCTTCACATCTTCGACCATTTGCGATGGGGAGACTCTGATTGAAAAGCGTTCCTTACTCATGGTCAAGACATATATTTCATAAGTACCCAGGGTACTCTCCAGTTCCGCCGACACATACCGCATAATCTTGAGGCTAGATCCATTCTTTAGTCCACAAGATGCCAACGTTTGATTCTCCTTCAGAAATGCGTCGCCAAATACGAACTCGTAAGCTTTTGCAGACCAATGATACAAACGCCGAATCTGTTTCTTGAGGGTGCTTACAGTATCTTTCTCATTAGCCCAGAGATTAACCACAGGTCCAGAAGGTATAGTGATGCTGACTTTAATATTAATAGCAAAGTCCAGTGGGACACTGAGAAATAAAGTTGAGCCAGACTCAATGCCGTATTCTTTCAGGCGATGATCATCTTCAAAAACTACACCTTGGAACGTCAGTTTTTGTTTTTGCGTCGGGATTCTTTTTTGGCATTCGATGTCTGCCTTGACATGCGAGACAAGAAGAAAATTAGGGTCAACGTTCAGTAAGTCGAAGTGACCAACACGGTTGCAGTGGATGTGCAGTGTATCCGCCATTGTTCATGCAAATGAACCGCGTTTGTGCACTGAGCTTGCGTTCAAACAGAGTGTCGAGTCATAGCGCGAGTCTGTCCGTTTATCGCGCAGCGCAAGTCTGTTCGTTTATCGCGCAGCACGTTCACCATACGAGCCAACCAGCTACCTTTTGACTAGTTCCTGATTCTCTTAATTGGTTGCCTGCGCGGCTTTGATACACTCTCACAAGCACAATTGTCACTCCTGATAAATAACCTGCGTTTACCTAATGACTCAAAACTGCGCATGACTTTTCATAAAATGGAGCAGCTCCGAGGTGTGTGTTGGTAGACAGTAATCATGCTCTCTTTTGTGTTATTTGCCTGAAGTGTTACCGATATACAGTAGATTTTATATCTGATGAAATGCGAAGACAAAATTGGATTGGGCGATTTAACACACATTTAAGGTTGTTTATGTTGTCCACTGAGTCGACTTGAGGTGCAAAATGATGTTTACTAGCAAACAGTTCGGTTCATGTCAGTATACTGGGGGCAAAACGGCGCCAAGTGGGGCCAAATCCAACGTTTGCTGATATCTAAGGAATATCTTACGCTATCAAACGCCGCGGTAAAAACTCCTTGTTTCTGCCTGTTAAGCTATAAAAGAACATTTATAAAAAGCAGAACCCTATTGAGTGTATATGTTCAGAGAACAGACAATTTCTGCTCTGCCTTTGTTATGTTAGGATTGCGCCTAGAAGTTAAGAAATTTACTGAAAACTGCCCCGGTATTCAGAGAGAGGTTAGCTCTTTCATTTTCAGCAGAAGATGCTTGTGAGGATGTCAAAAACTGGTCGAAAATTCCCATTCTGATCTTGACTCAATCTTCAAAAAATAAAGTACACAGACATTCGACGCTGAAATATATATGAAAAACGCTTTTAAAGAGTTAACTCGCTATAGAAAATGTATTAATTCATCTTAGGCATATGCATTCGCAATTTTTATTGTGGGCGCTCATCTTTCTCGGTAATGAGTGGAAATGTTTGGGTGACTCTAAATCATGACCCACGAATATAGCTACATAAGCCGTAATGCTTAAAAGCTCGTTATTTAGGTAAATATATTAAGAAAATATCATATTTTGAAGGTTTTGGTAGATACGTAGAATAGAATCATTATTTATGTTCAACTGACTGAAGCCGGTGAAAATCGTAAGGTATTAATAACCTTTACGAGTTTTGCGCCCCAACTCGTCTTCGGACTAACTTGTCCTGTTAGTCCGAAGACGAGTTGGGGCGCAAAACTCGAAAAGTTGCTCATTAAGCTTACTTTTTGTCCTAAAGAACATCTTCTTCAAAGTAAAATTTCTTGAAGTGCATGTGTTCCAGTTTATACAATTATTAATAACCATTTCAAGGAAGATCTAAACTTATTCGTGATTGAAATCCCAGAATAAGTACGAAGCAAAGTGGCTGAAGAAGATTTCTCTTAGTGTACCAAAAATGGTACGCTTACAATTGCACCTGACAATTCCATTTAAATTTATTAATCACTGTCCACCATGTCCGAACGCGAGCTTAAATAATACCTTTGCCCTGTGATCTCTCACTGGGCCAAATCAAGCGAAACTGTGGTTGCCTTAGTCCGACTTAACTCACGGAATGCAGAAACGGAAGAAACAACTAGCAATTCCCGTGAAAACGGGGTGAAGTACATACTAGAAATTATGGGTGTTCGATTACAGCCACACATTACACTGCACATAATATAGAAGCATATGCAGCCGAAAAATTTTACCTAAGGATTATTTTCCAACGTAATTTTACTTGCGCTGCTTTAGTCTCGCAGTGGATTTGCGTGAAAAGGCTCCCTCTGCATGTTTACCTAGCACGCCGGATTTAAACTTTTTCGGAATTTTCTACTTCGCTAAAAAAGCCGGTACTTCTAAAAAGCTTCATAAATCGCAATATGCCCTGTTGTGGAGAACGGTCATTACTGTATTTCTGTACGACTTTGGGGCCGCAGCTTGGGCTGCGTTTGAGGAACAGGAGTTACTTGTAAAAACCCTTGGATTTTAATGCGTAAGACTGTGGGAGCCTGCCGCTGTGCTGAATCACGCTGTCTGCCTTTGTCACGCCCGCTATCTAATCGCACGTGACAAACTGCCTTGCACTTTGCAAACGGCTACGAGAGCCAGCGATCTGCGAGCGCCCT